CCCCCATTTGCCCGAGGCGGGGAGGGGACGGGGAGTCGTGGGGCAGGCGGACCTGGGGGACGGAGGGCAGGAAGTAGCTGGCGGGCTGCTGGAAAGAGCCCAGGAGGGGGCTGCCCAGGGCCCGGATGGTGGAGAGGCGCTGCATGTACTGGTTGGACAGGATGGCCCTCCGCTCCTCTTTGCGCTGGGCCAGCGCCACGTACAGAGGCTTGGTGCCGACGATGCGCCCGTTCATCTCGGTCACGGCCTTGGTCGCCTCTTCTGGAGAGGAAAAACACACAAAGCCAAACCCCTTGCTGTGGCTACCCTCTGTCATCACCTAAAAGCAAGAAAGACAAGGGCTGCTGGGGTGGGGGGCTCCTGGGCAGTGCTCCCCACCTCCCCGAGGCAAGACCCTGAGGAACCGGGGACCCCCGAGGGATGGGCTCTCAACCTTCATTTACTGAGGCCTACTGCATGCCAGCTCCTCCCCACGTGGTCTGACCGCCCGGTCCAAGGTGGCCCCTCTTCAAAGGAATCTGTTGTCATCCCTGACCTCCCCGCCTGGGGTGGGCATCCCCTGTGGGTGAGGGCTGCCTTTGTGACGTGAATGAGGAGGGCTAGTGTTGAGTGTACTTGAGTCCATCTCCTTGAGAAATAAAAGACGAAGCCAGCCAGCCGGGGTACAGAGATGGAGGAAGAAAGCTGCCAGCCCCAGAAGACAGCCAGGAGCAGGAGCCCTGGGCCTTCCTCCAGAGGGAGGGCAGCGGGAAGATGTGCCATGGCTAGCTAGGTTTTGCCAAGAAGGCAGGAAACAAGAGTTGACAAGACTGGGGCTCTTCTTCAAAGCCAACAGGGCTGGTTCCCCGGGGCTGGTGCCCTGCACCTGCTGGACGTCGTGCTTCCTACACGGGGCTTGTTACTATCACTGCTGGGTGGCCTTTGTTACGGCAGCACCACGCCCCTCCACACTCCCCTAGCCCTCGGCGTCCTGGTTACACCGGAGCTGCCAAGTGCAAGGTCGGCAGGTGGAGGCCACTCAGGTGGGAAACAGGGCTGTCTCCTCTTGTAGAGAGGGACGGCTTCAGACACTCCTGGGACAGTTCTGCCCCGTCCTGCAGTGCTGCTCTGAGTCGGCATCACCATGGTGGCAGTGAGAGTGGTGTGGCTACTGCTCATCACAACCCGTTGCCATGTATGGTCTCCTGGGCTTCCCGAAGTCCCATTTGCTGGGAAGCAGGTGGCCAGACCTTTCTCCTAAGGTGCCTATTCCCCCGCCACCCCCTTCAGTGAGCAGCTGAGCACCGTGACCAACTGTGTTCCCTAGGCTGGGGGCCTCCACCATTCATAAAGCTAAGGTTACTGTGTCCCCTTCCACCTCTCCTCCCTGGTAGCAGGGC